GGGGGACAGCGGCGCTGGGGGGTGGGGTGCGCCACGCCCCCCAGTGCAGCCCACCCTGCCGCTTCCCCCCTTAAAACCCCCTCCAAACCCAGCATAGAAATAGGTTAAAACTAGGAATAATAATAAAAAAAGACTAAAGGAAAATGCATGTTTCTGCGGGTGGCTCCCTGCAACGTTCCTGGCTTTATACCTGGAGACGATGTTCTGGCTGCCTGCGGCCCGGACGGATTGACCCTGCACGCGGGATCAGGAATTTCCCAGCTAGCTCCCACCCGGACACTGCACTTCCCAAATTAGCCACTTCCCAAAATGGCAGCAGGGAGCCAGGCGCAGCCGGATGCCTCCGGGCTGCTTCCCGTGGCGGCTCTGCGGGCAGCGCCTCGCTCCGAAGCCGCCCGGCTGCTTCCCAGCCTCTTCCCGGCTCTTCCCGCCCCAGCCCGCTCCGCGCTGCACCAGCCCCTCCTGCAGTTACAGAGCAAACATCTGTGGAGCTTCTCAGAGGTCTCCAAGGAGGCAAGTGGCTCTGCGCCGGGACAGCCTGTTCCCGGAGCTGGTTCCCGCTGTGGACGTGGGTTACCCAGGAGCTGAGCCAGGCTCGGGGAGCCAGCACCGCTCGGCCCCTACATTAAGCACTTCAGAGGCAGGAGAGAAAGGACAGGGCATAAATCTGCAGTCACAGAAGGAGGAAAAGAGACAGAGCAATTTGCAAAGACCTCGGTAACCAGAGCAGAGCCGGGAGCAGCAGCGCAACGCGCCGGGAGGAAACGCAGCAGCGGAGGAAGCAGAAATCAAACAGCGGCAGAAAATGCGGAACATCTGGCGAGGCGGCCACAGGGACCGCCAACCTCCCTCCTCCTGCTGGCGCCCCGGGCGGGCGCTGAGGCCTTGCAAACTCGTGCCTGGGGGGCACTGCTGGCCCGGAGCAGGGCTGTGGCGAGGGGTTCGGCTCACTGCATCAGCTGCTTCCCACCGGTGTGGCCGGGATGAGCCGGGCACTGCTCCGTGCCAGCGGCAGCGCCAGCCCCATGGCCCCACACCTCAAGGCTGCTGACTTGCTGCAGGATCTGGCACTGCTGCCCGTCGCTGCCGGCGGCGCTCCGCAGCTTCTCCAGCATGGCCGAGAGCATCCCGCTGGCCATGCTGGTGCAGAAGGCGTCCGAGCCATGCAGGAACTCCCTGCGGGGAAGCAGGGCTGAGCTGGGGAGCTGGCACCACACTGCGCACAAGCGTCCCCAAAGCCTGGGGAGCGGCAGCGCCGCTGTCCCATGGGGCTTGGCCTGGGCATTAATTGCCACGTGCAATGGGGAGCGACGGGTGCCGCAGGGGGGGGGGACGATG